ATTCGAGAATTAATCATGAGTTTATAAGTCAACAGATACAGAAAGATATCTTTGATTACAGCTAAATTAAAGCTCTAAGGACCGCGAATCTTGTAGATGGATATGTTTACTGTAGGCAGGGAAACAGGGCGCCCCGCGTCAGGCCCCACGGGAGTAGTGGTCAACCATAATAGGTTCCCTGGCCCCTGGGAATCGCCGTCTGTTGTGTATTCATAGGCAACGTTCCATTTCCTTGAAGCAGATAATTCAAGAAACGTTGTATACTGAAGGTATTGTATTCGAAGTTTACTAAATCTCTTAATGGCCTGCCTGCCTATTTTAATTGTATTAAATGTATTTTGCCTTTTTTTTTAATGCGGACCTAATTCAATGCACAGTATAGTGTGTAAGAACTGTCTGCTAGTATGAACAACAGGCAAAAGATTTTTAAAATAGAACAATAAAAAAGAGAAACACCGGACATTTTAAGCTTGTGGGGGCATTCGTTCGAAACCCCCAAACCCCTCCAGCCTACGGGACTGAAGAAACTTGAAAAAATTCTCATAGACTAGTTCCCAGGACTCACCTCCTCGTCTATAAATATYGGCATCCTATTTGCAGGGGGCCTGGTAAAATTGTTATCCTTCTCTATTTCACCGATGAATGGCGACGCGCTACGTGAATCACCGTCTCCTATTTCTCTAAACAACGCATTTTCTCTAATGCTCCATTCATCGTCAAAGATATCATCATCATCAGAAGAGAGCTCTGACGTCAAACCACTTTGTAGACTCAATAAATCGTCTGTCGATGTCGAAACGCATCGAAATCGATGCTCGTCGAGTGGAGAGTTTACCGGGTAGTCTAGAGTTAATGAGCATGCGCTRTTGTTTAGGCGTGACGTCATTCTAGACTCGCTTTGTTCTAAAACTGTTTGATAAGCCTCATATTCTATCCTTCGTTCAACAGATAGCTGCGCTTTGATGTCTGATAGCGCTTTSAGTCCGAGTTGGTTGTGCGGTTTTGTGAGTTTTTTCTCGAGGATTTCTGTTTGAACTGTCTCTTGGAYTTCRACTGTAGTCGTCGTCATTGTGGTCGTTTTCTCTTTTTGATGTGAAGATGGAGACTGAGTCTTGTTTAATGCTCTTTTTCTTCTCATTTCTGAAACAATTTAGTCGTCATCTTAAAATATGCATTATAACAGTTATAATAGCTATTATTTATGTGCTTGCGTCACAGTGAAGTATAATGACGTAATCTAGTTAGATCRTGACATGAAATATTACGTCATACAATGCGCCCATGATGACGTCAAAACAACTGTATCTACATCATACCTTCGATTTCCAAAGCAATGTGAGGAGGGATTTCGATCTCTTTAGCTATAATTCTCTTTAGYTGTTCAATTTCTTCCTGATATTTTTTGATTAAAGTGTCTTTTGGGTCCTCGTTGATTCTGGGTCTGTTYTTAATATTCTTTGCTCKCTTGGCGTASCGTARAGTTGTTAAAGTTTCCTCGTAGTTATTGGCTCCAGGGCTGATGCAKGCRATCATCAGAGTCCGTGAATTCCCGCCTAAAGAATCCTGCAGCAATCGAGTGAGTTTAGAGTCCCTGTATGGAATATGCTTAATCTTTCCATCGACTAAGGCTGATATTACATTCCCAAGAGCCGACAACGATAAATTGATACGTGTCGCTTCTCGAAATCGTTCTCCCGACGCAAGCGATTTACCTTGCCTTTCGCTACCAGCCAAGTCAACAAGGTTAAGTTTACCATTTCTAAAGAATTCTTTGCCTTCGCCGTGATATACGCTCATTTCAAGATCGATAATGAAGATAGAATGAGATCTTGACGAATCTGTGTTCATACAAGTSGCACCAACAGATCGATTAGATGARCCAATGGCTAAAATCTCCTTCATATCATCATAACAATCAACTGTTATACTCGATAAACCTTTGACATACATTCCYTTATCGGGATGTTCCTTTATTTCTAATTTACAACCAGTGTTCTTAACCAATAAGTCTCTTATCTCCTCGTTATAGATCTCTAAGAACGACACGTGAAGCAAATACTCTCTGTTGTCATGGATATTGTTACCATAGCTACTATTACCATGGACACCGTGCGATGTTTGGTTACTACGACTACTGTTTCCATGGATACTAGTTAAAATATGCTTAAAACATCTAGGAATGATTCCAGTTTGGGATTCAGGTTCRCTAACTCCCTCCATTGTGAATGTCTTACCACATGATGTTTGCCCGTATGCAAAAACCGTACCGTTATACCCCTCCAGGACACCCTGGACTATCGGGCGAACRATCCCGGAGTATAACTTATCAGTGCTGCAAGTTGAACCGTAGACTCCGTCAAACGTGAACACTTTCTTAGCTTTAGCGGAGTCGGAAGGTTTCCGTATCGAGCACTGATGTTTCGATGTGTCCATATTTACTACGATCTGGGTTTTCGATTTTCGTTCGGCGTCGTTGAGAGGCCGACTTCGTGCGATGACTTTGACGCTTTCACTCATCGTGACGTCATCAGMAACCTCGTTTGCTTGTCGCTGTCCAAAATAAAATCGTCCCTCTTTGCATTTATTCAAACCTGGAAAATAAGCCTCTGCGTTAAAAAGGACAGAAAGGAAGATACAAACTGTCTATTTCACTAAATTCATGCGCTTTTGATAGTGATGATAGACGCTGTTAGACTACCATCTAGTATCGCGTACTCTGTGTATTGTTCACACTAGCTAGTACCCTGATAATCAACCCTCATATGGCCTAATACCCTACATAATACTGGCGTTATTTCACTATCCCCTCTCAWGGGACGTGAGTACAAAATCAGTGGCACTAGTCATATATCCGAGTATTTTCCGAAATTTGTTTCAAAAACTCTCAGAAACGAACTTAGTCGGGCTAGTAGGATCACGCATATCATTATTGTTACATTCTCTTTTCTAATGGGTTATTGTTCAATTATTTGATTGTAGTGTAGCCAATCAGAGTGCGAGTAGAGGGGTTTTGACTCGCTCTATCTATTCTGCTTGTTAATCCTCTTATGCCACGGTCGGACAGCGGGTAGTAATTGAACCACGTACTATTAACTTATAAACAAATTAGAATTTTCTCGACAAGTTTTAAATAAAACACGAGTAAAATCTTTACATGRAAATAGTCGACTAAGTTTTGCTTTTCAAGTTGACTTAYAACCTAKARCAACTATTARAACAARGTTATTTTTCAAGATTTGGCGTTTTAATGTTTGCAAGCTGCTTCAGATGTATTTGAGATCTATTTTGAGTTAATTAAAAAGTAATTTTTGAAGTGTTCCTTAACTTTGAAAGCTACTCAAACTGAGAGAGAAGAATATACTATAGTTTATAAAATCCAGCAAACACGAAGAAAAATAAGCGCCGTTTTTATGTCTAAACAAGATGGCGCGCAAAAAATTGTCGTTTTTCTGAGCGAGAGCAGGTTCCATAGAATACCAGAAAAATAATTTCAATTCTACGCAAGGGATTAGTATCTGTCAAAAATAACCTTTTAAGATCAAAACATGACAAGAACTTTTCTTTGCTTACTTATCAGAGCTGTGGGAATAGCCACGATACATTGACACCTTTTGACCAAAACTTGAACATCATCTTTCACATCTCTTCGCCAAATTCTTGATTATTACCATTTTAAAGCCGCTATTTGAAGTGCATCACAAGTCAATGAAGAACTTAAAMCGTTAGTTTTGAAAAGCATTCTCTTCATATGCCGACATATTAGTATTTTTTTTTCGTTTGGACACTTGTCGTTGAGAAGTGTAGTTGTGTCGTTAAAATAAAGCACCAGTTGCTATCTCGTTTTGTAGTGTTTGTTGAACACGGMCTAACAGCCAAGACCTTTATCCGTTCTTTGTATCAACAACCTGCTAATACAATCAGCAATTGTCGTACGCTCTGCTGAGGAATTGTGAACAGAGCCAAACGTCAAAACATCTCTCTAATCCTTGGTTTGATGGTTGGAATGTAAACGAATCTCAAAAATGTTTTTTTTTTGCGTTGTTTTATTTTTGGTTTTCATAGATGGCGATTTTACATTCATTTGTATATTTATTTTTTTCGTGACAATTTCACAAAATGTAAAATACTTATTAACCTGTTATTTAACAGGTTAAAAGCTTGTTAGAAAATCAGACGCTCTTAGCTACTACATAAGCGATATTGACGTATTTTTATGTAGTTTAATCATTACTCTGTCGAAAACGTCAAACAATCTCCATAAGACGTCTCTCGGAAATCCCAATCACTTAATTTCTCGCTGTAATAACTGATACATAAACTCTCGCAKTGCATTATAAAACTACCCTAGATTACACATTACACTCTCTAAGTCACACCCTTTTTGTCACGCAATATACTAATAAATCTTAATTACTATTATTGATTAACAATATGATCATTATGTGATTTACGGCAACTCGGTTGCCGGTCAAAATTTCCTATTTTCACTGATCGATTTTGCCAACGTTAACTTTGTCATACCACATGGAAAACAAAATCCAATTCAACAGGACAAAAAAGCTAAGTGTCTAAATTGCTTTTGCGCAAAAGTGAAATATTATGGCATATATTGCGACAACCACTGTATTTATCTTGAATATATATTTGTTATAGTTTATCTTCCTCGGAGACATTGCAGCAGGAKTGTAGCGCGGGAAAATCTATATCWAGTGGGGTGTTTATGCGCGCACGTCTTTGCACCGTTCAAAATGTTTGCGCTGRTTCAAAATGGACGGAGCAATGTTTATAACTTTAGCCACCTTACATACAATAGAGTGTAGTGTATGCTRGTTAGGTTAGGCCTCATCTTCCTTAGTTGAGCCCTTTGTTGCSGTTCTTCACGTCACACGACCAGCGGTTTTGCAGCTAAAATGTCCCAGTAATGCTTTGCGCGCCTATGTTTATACGGGTACCAGTATKGAAAGAACTATAAATATCACAGCTGAGCGGTTTTTCTTGATTTCTCAAAGAAAGATAACCAGATTACCGTAGCAACCAATATCGCTGCCCCGTCCACATAATGAGTTTTATTTTGAACCAGCGCAAACATTGTGAACGGTACTAAGACGTAAAAACCCACTAGAATACGTTAAGACCTTTCGTCCACATCACGATTACGTTAAATKAAAACGTAACGCACTTGGAGACGGATATGATGCATTTAACTGATTACTAAAACGTTGCGAAAACGTGCAGACGCGAAGATCTTTTATAAACTCGGTGCGTTAATTGAACCCCTATTCTCAATCCTAAGGAGCAAAAACGTAAAATACAAAAACGCACGTTTTCTCTTGCGTATAGACCTTCTAACTCGCCGATATACATTTTGTCCGTTTGCATTCACTAAAACGATACAACTTTGCATGTTCAAACGTTAAGAGGTGCATATRTGTGYTGTTTGCCTTTTATCTACAATAAAACTGTTCAAAAACGTACAGAATAAAACACAAGCATTTCAGTACGCGTTTGTAGATAAACAGACACTWATACAAGCGTTTTACAAATTGCACGTCAGTGTAGATACGATGTTCAGGGACAAATCTCGTTCAACATCGGCATCGCGGCATCGCGTACTGCAAGTAACTTAAGCAAAGACAAACGTCAATTTTCTTTAGAATCTAAAGTTTCTGTCCCAGACAAATAGTGTCAGTTGCTAAAACGATRTGATATTGTTTTGCTAAGGGATAAAAGCTTAGCGTCAATTTTGACAAGATGACTGTCTTCCGGGCTTCAATTCCTCACAAAAATAAGAAACGTAATGAAGAAATCATGAAATGAAATATTACCGAGTTTTTGTGAAGATTGAAGTTGAATAGCAGATATTCAGATATTCAGATATTCAGATATTCAGATATTCAGATATTCAGATATTCAGATATTCAGATATTCAGATATTCAGATATTCAGATATTCAGATATTCAATTTGACTTCCGGGTAATCGATAGGACACTAGCCATTTGCAACTCATTCTCACCGAAACTGCGCAAAGTTTTTGCTCTAAGAAAGCACAATATCAAAAAGATCACACAATTGTACAATGTACATTTTTTCCTCACCTTTTAAGGCATTTCCATGTGTTTTCTTCTTCATTTTCTTTATATTTATTATGTTTTCAAGGATGTTTTGGATGTCTCAGTGTTCGTACTAGTCAAATCCTTCGCGCTGTTCAAACTTTCTTATTAAACATTGATCAGGTTCACGGRCTGTGATCGTWTGGAGATGATTGAAAGCAGCAAAGCATGGCAAACTTGTTTTCTTTTAAACACAGCTACAAACTCGAGCGWTTCAACCGGTTTATGGGCTTGTGAAACCATGCATAATACTAATATCGACAAAACGATGGTTAAAATCACTGGAAASAGTGTTATTGCTTGCTCTTTTGTTAAATATCATTATATATTAGTAAATAATGTAAAATATTGCGCACTTTTTAGAGATTGTAAACGACTTCCTTGTGCCTTAAGATACAGCAAAAATGGACACGGGAATTCACATCAAACCACGACTTCAATATGTCATCTATGGACGTTCCTGATATCCGTTTAGACGAATACCTTTGCAAATATTTCCTTTTTAAGGGATTGTTCAACCTTTTCTAATCATTTCAATCCCAAAACCTTTACAACACTCAAGTCAGCAAAGCGTTTGACAGCTATGAACGCACCGATTGGTAGTGTCATGGCTAAAATATGCAACGTTTTGCTGCTGAAACTAAAACTAGYTTCCTTATAAAACACTTCCCAATGATACTATAATGCTGACCGRCAGGCGGTGACTATATTTTGCTATTAAGCTTTTTGGGGTTATTTTATACACGTGAAGATTCATGGATCTTTGATATCTTTGACGCGCAGTTGCGGGAACGTAATAACGCGATGAAATTCAACGTTTTAATCAAGTTGATGGTCGGATCTTGCAAAGTAAACCAACCAGATATTGAAGAGCTGCAGTTGAGGTGTGCATGGATAAATATGTACATACAATGTCAAAATGCATTGGTCTACGTTTTCGTGCCATTTTACTTTAGACGCAMGATCAAAACGTAGGGAAACGTACGCGTCTTCAAATGCGTGCGTTTTCTTTGCAGTTCTACCGATGATAACTACAAACGCATATGCGTCTTTATAGCATATTGTTTTCGTACCGTTTTAATCTGGACGGTAAGGTCCAAGTACAGAATATTTAGAACAATTTCCTGCACCCATTTGTAACAGTAAATTATTGTTAAAATAGATATAATTGCTTGGTGAAAAATGAACAATGTACTAAACTTCACCGGAAAAACGTTATAAAAAAGGGTTGAATTAAGATGACAAGGTAAAAACAAATAGAATAACAAATACACACCAAAAGAATTATKAATAGAAATTGTGCGCAAGTGATTAAAATGGTTTGYAAGGAACGATCATTTCCAAGCAACCATGAATCAAAATYATACCACGAAATTAGCAATAGTAGCGTTCCCTATTCATCTAACACTATAAAAAATTTACATAATTATATATATAACCTATATTAACAGCGTTTCTACGAACGTAGTTCACATTTTTTTTATATAAAAATCACATAGAAGAAAGAAAGTCTAAAAACGAAACGCGCCCTCAATGTATATAAACCAAGTTTGAAAGTCATTAAAGGTAGAGCTAAATTAAATAAATTATGTATATCCAGGTTATAAAAATTATCATCATTTGAAAAKTACTCATTATTTTCATGGACATGAAAATATTGATCTAGGTTTGCATAATTTCCCCTTCTATAGTATGTATATGTGTTTGACAAACTCGTTATAATTACATTGAACTTTGGTTTCCAATTTGTGACGCAATCGCGCGTTGGCGGGATATCGTTTCACTACTGTCTTCATRTTACTGCGWTATAATTGCTTCGCTTTAGAATTACTCGCTGATTTCTACTGACGCAGAACTAAAGGTAATGTTCACTCTCAAATCAATTTTATTATGTGTCCAGATATGGGCAAAAMCTGATCAAGACATGGTGGGAAACTTCAGCCTTCCACAGTGCAACATAAWTTTTTTTGAAACAATCAAGACCGCGACATTCCATGCTACAATTTCATGGAAAATAAACGGAMCGCCTTGCCCTCTTTCCCYCTACAAGGTTGGACACTTGCTCATTCTGGTCGATTTTGAAGCAATTCTGTGTTCAAATAATTGAAAATGTATTGTAAACAGAATAAGGAGTTGAGGTTACACACGTTAATATTTGTAATATAYGTTATTTTGCAAAAGACTGTAGCTCAGCCCTAACGTTGCGTTTGGCTTGTAAAGTATGCCCCCTAATTCAGTAGTTGTTATTGGATCGATGGTTCAATTTATGCATGATTTATGCGACGCACTGATTTGAACCCTGCTCTATACCATGAGCTAGAGCGGATTTCGTAGGAGTGGGACACCGTTACCGCACGGTTACCGTACAGTTACCGGACCTGCCCTGCAGAATTTTGGTGAAACAATGGGGCACTAGAATTTGGTTACAGTACGATTACGGTCACAGTACAGTACCGTCCGTTTCCCACTTATACGAATAAATCCGCTCTACAACTTCATTTAGGGAGCTACATAAGCATTGATCAACTGTATTTGTATGTGACGCAAATAGCCTAAAATAGTCTCAAATACAATAATAATAATAATAATAATAATCTAAGCTTATAAAGCGCTTATAAAACTTTTTCTAAGCGCAAATAAAAAGGTAAAAATTAAGATATTAAGAAAGTTAAAATAGAGTTACAGATCATAAGTTTGTTTAAAAAGGAAGGTTTTGAGAGCAATGTAGCTTTCTATAAAGTAATAGTATCTGTAAATGATATTTATACTAGAGGCCGGTGCCTTTAATTTTGAGT